ATATATATATATATATTAGTTGTCAATGAATATTTATTTATATGTGGTGCTGAGAATTGAACACAGTGCCTTACACATGCTAGGCAAGTGCTCTACTACTGCACTATGACCCCAGTGCCAGTCCTTTTTATTTTGATACGGAGTCTCACTGAGTTGCCCAGGTTGGCCTTGAACTTGCAATCCTCCTGCCTCAGCCTCTGTAGTCCCAGGAATAATAGGTATGTGCCACTGGGACCAGTTTAATGTTCTCCTTGATTTCAATGGTTGGCTATCACATTTCTGTCCTCAGTGTATCTTACAGGTACTATGACCATTTCCAAACTACCAAGGAAATGTATGTATATACTGAAAAAAAAATCCCTATTTTTGTTCCTTATTTTTGTGTAGCAGTAACACAAATTTAAAATCTGTTGTTTGCAAAGGTCAGAAATATCATAAATAAATTAGGCTCACAGGGAAATAGAGCTTGATACACATACAAGCTCCATTTATTGATTGGGTTATTAATAGTTACCAAGTATTGGTCACTTCCTGTTTGTCAGGTATTGTACTAGATTTGACTTTATTTGTGAAGTGCTGGAGATCCACCCAGGGCCTCACAAATGCTAGACAAGTACTCTGCCACTGAGCTACCTAAGGTCTTTTACTATCTCATTTAATTCTCATAGTCCTTAACATGCCCTATACAACCTGAATTGTAATCCCTGTTTTTTCTACTATAATTTCTTATTTGTTTTAGTTATACAGGACAGAATACATTTGGTATAGCATACATAAATGGGGTATAATTTCTCATTTTTCTGATTGTACATGTTTTAGAATCACATTAGTCATGCACTCATATGTGTACATAAAGTAATAATGTCTGTTTCATTCCAGTAGCCTTCCTATCCTCTCCTCCCCTCCCTTGCTGCCCCTAACACTGCTGCCCCTTTTAATCCCTGTTTTACAGATACAGAAATAGCTATCAGAAGCAGGTTTCAATTTTTAAAAGCTTAAACTCAAACACAATATTTTTTTAAAGTATTTTTTAATTTTTTTTTAAATTAGGGATTTGTAGTTATGCATAGTAGCTGGGTTCATACCAACAAACTCATACATGCATGGAATTCAATTCAGCTCCTGATTCCTTGCTTTTCCCTCCCATCCTCCTTCCCCTCTCCCATTTTCCTTCCTCTCTTTTACCTAGGCTTCCCTTTGCTAGTCTATTTATTTATATTTGATTGGCTCTACCTATGCATAAGGGATATGCACATGATTTTTTAAAGAATTCATTCTGCATCGCCTGTCCTTCTTGAGAGAAAACATTCAACCTTTGAGTTTCTGAGTTTGGCTTATTTCACTTAGCACGATATTCCCTATTTCCATTCATTTACTGGCAAATGCCATAATTTCATTCTTTATGGAAGATTGGAACTCCATTTTATTTATACACCCCAATTTCTTAATCTATTCATCTAATGATGGGCACCTGGGTTGATTTTAAAATTCAGCTATTATGAATTGTGCTGCTATAAATACTGAGGTGGCTATACTGCTGTAGCATGCTGACTTTAGATTTTTTGGTTAAAAAAAAAAAACACAAAAAAAACAAGGAGTGGGATATCTGGGGCATATGGTGGAACCATCCCTGGTTTTTAAAGGAGTCTTCATACTGCTTTCCAGAGTGATTGTACTAGTCTGCAAGCTCATGAACAACATACAAGTGTGCCTTTCCCTACACAACCTTACCAGTGTTTAGTATTATTTGTATACTTGATCATCATCATTTTGACTGGAGTGAGATGAAATCTAATTGTAGTTTTGATTTACAATTCCCTGATTTCTAGAGATGCTAAACATTTTTTCATATACTGGTTGGTCATTTGTATTTCTTCTTTTAAGGAGTTTTTGTTTAGTTCTTTTGTCCATTTATTGATTGGGTTATTATTATTTTTTGGTGTTAAGTTTTTTGAGTTCTTTGTATATTCTGGATTCAAATCTCCTATTGGAGGAACAACTGGCTAAGATTTTCTCCTGTTCTGTAGGGTCTCTCTTCATGCTCTTAATCATTTTCTTTGCTGTGCAGAAGCTTTTTTATTTTGATTGCATCCAACTTATTGATTCCTGATTTTATTTATTGTGCTTTGGAGATCTTGTTAAGAAAGTCAGTGCCAGCACTTATATCAGGGAGTGGTGACCCTATGTTTTCTTATACCAAGTGTAAACTTTCTGGTCTGATTAAGTCTTTGATCCATTTTGAGTTTTATGCCAGGTGATAGGGTCTAGTTTTGTGTTTCTATATATAGCTATCAGTTTTCCCAGCACCATTTTTTTTAAAAAAAGCTATCTTTTCTCTAAGGTATATTTTTGGTACCTTTATCAAATACCAGATGGCAGTAGGTACCTGGATTTGTCTTGTGTCTTCTGTTCTGTTCCATTGGTCTTTATGTCTATTTTGATGCTAATAACATGCTGGTTTTGTTATTATAGCTCTGTAGTATAATTTCAGATCAGGTATTGTGATGCCTCCCGCTTTGTTTTTGCTTTTAGTATTGCTTTGGCTATTCTGGGTCTCTTATTCTTCCAAATGAATTTAAGAATTGTTTTTCTGTGTTAAACACGTTATTAAAAAAACAATTTATAATGAGAAATTGCAAAGTTTGAGAGAAAAGCATGATGAACTTGAGGTGCTCCTCAGCCAAGCTCAATAAATTATCAACCTTGGGGCAGGAGCATTGTTGTGGCAGAGTACCTGCTTAGCATGGGTAAGATCCTGGTTCTGTTCCCAGCACCAATCCCCCTGACCAATTAACCCTTTGCTCATATTTCTTTTATACTCACTACTTTTTTCTTCCCTTATGAACTTAAAAGAGAAGAAAAGGCTGGGTAAGGTGGCACAGGCCTGTAATCCCAAAAACTTGAGAGGCTGAGGCAGGAGGCCACCCTCAGCAATTTGGCAAGGCCCTAAGCAACTGAGACCTTGTCTCAAAAGAAAAAAATAAAAATGGCTGGGGTTGTAGGTTCAATCTCCAGTACTATTTATTATTTATATTTGGGGCAGGGGACCCTCTGCCTTGTCCAGGGGTTGCTCTCTTACTCTCCTATTCTCAACCACTCCACAATAGCTGAGACTACAGGGAAATACTGCTGCATCTGGCTAGGTGAGGATGTTTTAAAATAAAATCACAATAAATTATTGTTACTAAGAAAGTAAAAATAACAAAATAGCACCCAAGCCCCCATTTATGTTCAAATTCTCCCATTGACTCCAACTGACTAAACACCACCCCCCATAAGAAGGTCCTTGAACTGAAAGGTCCTTGAAGTTTCTTTTAATCTCCAGAGCTCCCATGCCCCACCTTTTCCCCATGTCCATTTGTTATTGAAGTAACTTGATAACTTATTGTGTAAAGTTTTCCACCACCTACATTTGACTGATGGCATCCCCACGGGTGGTGGTGTTTAACATGCCCTTTCCCCTCCCTATCTTCAGCAAACATTTCTAGTTCAATATTTTTAACCATTCATTCCCTTATGAGTAGAGAAACTGTACATTCTTTATATCTTGTTATTCTTAGATATTAAAATATAATTTAAGAATTATTTTCATAACAATTAAGGATTATTCTTAGAGGCCAAAATATAAATCAGTGATGAATTCATTAAATAAAAGAAGAAAAAGGCCTGAGTATAACAGTTTATCTTAGGAACACTGATGAGGACTAATGCCATTGTTCTAGAACAGGGGTAGGCTGATGTTTTCAGCAAAGGGCCAGATGGCAAAATTTTCTGCTCTGCAGATCACAATGTCTGATCTGATGTACCCGCTCAACTTTGCCACCGTAGCACAAAGTGGCCACACAAAAAATATAAAGAAGCAGCAATGGTTGTACTCCGTGGGCTGGATTTGATGTGCAGGCAGTCCTTGGCTGACTCCTGCTGGGACCCCAGCTTATGGTTGAAAGTTTCAACTGTGTGTGACAGGTTACAAAAGAGGAAGCGAGGCTACATGGTGTGCACTGTGTAAGGTTTAGTCCTGAGTCCTGTTTGATATGTGTGAAGGATAGCAGAAGGAAATACATTTTATGTTGACTTTTAGGTCTGTTTCACTTGTCTCTATGTTCTGGGCTCAAATGTGTGTGGCTCTAATGACCCAAGTAGCACAGTGGGTGAACTCTAGCTCTGAGCCAGCAGGTGGAGTGTCAGGTTAGGAACACAGGAAACAGTCCACAGGAGCCCTAGGGGGATTTAACCCCAAATCCTCATCGTTTCCCCATGAGTAGGGGCTTCCTTGCTATTGTCCCTTGGAAAAATGGACTCTC